CCTATTGCTGTAACCTCAGCCAACCCCACTGGCGAGGCAGTTACTACTCATCATAACCAGGTTCACGCCAAACTGGGAGACAAGGTAAGGGAATGATTTAGTGTTCATAAAAAAGCAGGAAATAAAGATTTGTTGGACTTTTTGTGAGGTACTTTGATGTTTCTTTGGATGTAGGTGGATGGAGTGTTGTGTGATGGACCGCCTCCAAAAAACATTGCATCTACTTCGTCGACTGCACAAAGATTGATACTGGGAACATTGGTTTCTTCAGAGTGGGTCTGATTCCTAAATCCAAGGTATTCTAAATACAATCAGTTCTCTTCATTCAATGTAAAATTGTTATTTTTTATTGAGTGTGTTCATCCAAGTTTTACTTTTTTGACTTGATTTCAAGGTTCTTCAGATATTCGAAGAGGTTCGTAATCACCACAGAAGGGAACAGACAAATTCAGGGTTCGTACGTGACGAGTTCCTTCCACGAATGGAAGAGGATCAACATCCTGGTGACAGCATGACAGAATCAGAGAGAGGATCGGAAACCCAACCTAATGTGAACAGTGAACAAAGTCCAAATGTATAAAGTTACTTTCACCAGCTTGTTTTGGAGCTGATTGAAGCCAGTGACAGTGTTCAACGTAACAATTCTATGTAGCCCATATACTGCTGTAAAACAGCCTGAAGGGACATTTAAATGTAGGCAAATACTAGATTCACTCAGTCTGAAGCACTTAAAGTTTTGGGTAAAGTTATTGGTTTGCATTTGACACATTTTAATACTTTTTATGCACTTTTTCCTCTCCCTGGGCTGCCACCTTACCATGGTGGAGGGGTTTGAGTGTCTCAATGATCCTTGGAGCTAAGTAGTCCGAGGCTTTCTGCCTCTGGTAGGGTCACCCATGGCAAACAGGTCCTAGGTGAGGGATCAGACAAAGAGCAGCCCGAAGACCTCTTATGATGAATTCTATAAATGGAGACTGTGTTCTCTCGCCCGGACGTGGGTCACCGGGGCCCCCCTCTGGAGCCAGGCCTGGAGGTGGGGCCCGCTGGCGAGCGCCTGGTGACCGGGTTTTCACCCATGGAGCCCGGCCGGGCAGAGCCCAAAAAGGAAACGTGGATCCCCCTTCCCATGGGCTCACCACTCGTGGGAGGGGCCAAAGGGGTCGGGTGCAGTGTGTGACGGGTGGTAGTCGAGGGCGGGGACCTTGGTGGTCTGATCCTCGGCTACAGAAGCTGGCTCTTTGCATATAGAATGTAACTTCTTTGGTGGGGAAGGAGCCTGAGTTGGTGTGTGAGGTTGAGAGGTTCTGACTAGATATAGTCAGACTCACCTCAACGCATGGTTCTGGCTTTGGAACCAGTTTCCTTGAGAGGGGTTGGACTTTCTACCACTCTGGAGTTGCTCCCACTGAGAAGCGCCGAGCAGGGGTGGATGAGATCCGCCCGGAGTTCCCTAAGGCTCTGGATGTTGTGGGGCTGGGTTGTCTGACCCGGCTCTGCAATATCGCGTGGACATCGGAGGCAGTCACACTGGACTGGCAGACCTGGGTGGTGGTCCCCTTATTTAAAAAAGGGGGACCGCAGGGTGTGTTCCAACTACAGGGGGATCACACACCTGAGCCTTCCTGGTAAGGTCTATTCAGGGGTTCTGGAGAGGAGGGTCTGTCAGATTGTTGAACCTCAGATTCAGGAGGAGCAATGTGGTTTTCGTTCTGGCCGTGGAACTCTGGACCAGCTCTATACTCTTAGGAGAATCCTGGGGGGTGCGTGGAAATTTGCCCAACCAGTCTACATGTGTTTTGTGGATTTGGAGGAGGCGTTTGACCGCGTCCCTTGCGGGGCCCTGTGGGAGGTACTCTGGGAGTATGGGGTACCAGGCCCTCTGATACGGGCTGTTAGGTCCCTGTATGACCGATGTCAGAGCTTGGTCCGCATAGCCGGCAGTAAGTCGGGCTCGTTCCCAGTGAGAGTTGGACTCCGCCAAGGCTTCCCTTTGTCACAGATTCTGTTCATAACCTTTATGGACAGGATTTCTAGGCGCAGCCACGGTGTGGAGGGCATCTGTTTTGGTGGCCTGAGGATCTGCTTTTTGCAGATGATGTGGTCCTGTTGGCTTCATCAGAAAGTAATCTTCAGCTTTCGCTGGAGCGGTTCGCAGCCGAGTGTGTGCGACTCCGCAGCACAGCCTGACCAAGGTTACACACACACATGTAGACAGAACAGATACAGGCAGACCACAAGAGCAGCCATAACTGTGCTCATTTCAATTAGATGAAAAGGGGATTACATGAGGATAAATTGGGGGAGGGAAAACAGGCATACAAGAGTTACACCCAGCAGGGCACAGCTTTACTATGCAAAAAACGCCTCAAACATATGAGCACGAACATCAACAGTGCACAACATGAGACACCGATAGGAAGGCGGGGGGTGGGGGTGGGGGGGTGGGGGTGGGGGGGGGCTGGGATCCTGTTTCCCCAGCGATAGCAGCCCTGTATGGCGCTCATCCACTGTAGCCACAGGTGGGAGGGAGATCTTGGGAGGAATGCAGAGCACATTGACACCTGCAGGTTGATGACCTCGCCAGGCTGAAGTCCACCAATGTGAAGGCGGGGGTGGGGGTGGGGGGGGGGTGGGGGGGGGTAGGTCGGGTATTCACAGCATCTGTCTGCATTCCTTCGTGGGGTTTGTTGTTGGCATCTCAAGGCTGCCATGGCGTCAGATTCAGATAACAAGACTTTGTTTGGGTCAGGCTGAGATAATTTTCCTCTCTGCCTTCAGTCTGTAACTGATCATTCAAGTCCTCCAGTGAAGCCAATTTAAATTTTAAACATCTCCACACCGTCCAGTGACCCTCTCCGAGATGACATCCATTTGCGCACTAACTTCGGTATCGCAGCTAGAACATTGTCCAGCTTGCGATTCACCTCGAGTAGCATCCCAGTCTGTGAGGTCTCCAAAAGGACGGTGCTCTTCGTGGGTGCGGGTCGCCCTCCAATCGCTCCTGTCTTCCCAAATTTCCAGAAAACCATATATCCTCCCACTCCAATCAGAAGAAATCCAGTGATCATCAGGCCAGACATCCACCCGTCTTCAACGTCCTCAATGGACATCTGGGAGAGCCATACGATCTTCCACTCTTTCCAGGAATCCATCATATATCCTGCTGGGTGTGTCCCTTGTGGGCAAGTGGGAGCCCCCTGCTCCGTTCTAATTGTTGAAAAAATCTTATCAATTGCGTTGAATGACCAATTTATCAAATCCATTCCTAAAAAATAGGGTGTTTCAGAAGAAGTGCAGAGAAGCATTCTGTGGGCAAACAGGACAAAGAGCCTTGGGAAAAAAGATGAGGGAGGAAAAAAAGAAGCGTGTGTTCTCTGCGACTGCCGGAAAAGAAAGTGAATATATATATATTCCAAGAAAGAAAAGAAAAGATATATATATATAATGTCACATAGCATTGATGGACTTGTCTATCTTGACTCACGACAGGGAAGGCTGTTGTTGGTTTAGGGTCCAGGAAACAGCAGACAATGTGTCCAAAGATCTAAGCTAACAGTTAGCATTAGCTACTTCAGGCCAATCCTCAACTCTGATGTGGCTAATTTCTACTTCCTGAAACTGTTCCAGAGTTCTGTTTCCCCAGAGTACGACTTGCAAGGCCTTGATTCCTTCCAGAGACCACTGCAAATGTATTGATTAAACAAGGGATCCCCATCTTTAAAGAGCTCATAATAAAATTAGATGGTTGAATTGTTTCAGAGTTCTTGAGCTGCTAATGACCTCTGACAAATAACTAGATGCTTTCAAGTGCTTAATTAGCAATTGTTCAAAAATATATCTATTTATGTCAAGCTTTTAAACACCATCGTTGTTATTGATTTATCTGAAGATCTGAATAAAGATGTATTGAGGGAGAGAATGCATTCATCTAGAAAACATTTAGTAATTATTTAAAGATGCAAGCCTTAATAAACTTTAGTTATTTTTATTGCACAAATTAATTAATGCATGAGTGAGCTTCAATGCAGAAACCACACAAAGACATTCTGTTTTACAATTAGTTCAAACATTATAAATTAAAAAACATAACTATTTATTTACAGATTCAAAGTGTTTGTGTTGATATATTTTGAAAATAAATATAACAATACATGTATAAATAGTCCAAAACATTATGGAGTTCATGCAGTTTAAGATGACTTTTGAATTAGCTATCTATCTATGCATCCACTAAGACACAAAAGTTACATCCATATAAACACACATCTTTAGTTTTCCTTTTCCTCTTTTGCTGTTTGTCAGTATGAAAAGCAAAGCACAGCTTGGGTTAGACAAGTTGACTTGAACGTGATCAGCCAGGTAGACAGTCTTCGCTAAGAGACACTCAAATCATGGAGTTCTTCAGTCTGTCAAAGATCTGTTGGACTTTGATAGCAGGGACACAGCCTTCTCTCACAATGGTGATGACTCCTGAACGAAGGTTAGAAGAGCTTCAGTTAGAAACGTGACCTTAAACAGCCCCAGTAGGAAGAAATCATGGCCCCTTACCTTCATCAATCCTCAGGCAGTTGACCACAGTTGAAGCAACTACTTCATTCGAGTCACCATCACAAAGTACTCCTTGGATCTTGTGTCCCAGTCGACTGCAGCAAAAGAAGCAGTTTGAAACAGTAATTAGTGTATGGTGCTAAAAGTTTTAGAGATGTGTTGTTTGTTAGTTTGCATTAAACTTCTTTGAGGAGACTCTTACTTAATAACCATGCTGTGGTGGGTGCTGTCTGATTCTCCACTGGGATTGGCTGATGTTATGGCCAGGGGTCCAGTGATGTTGCATAGGTGGCAGGTCACGGTGTGGTCTGGGACACGGATCATGATGCTGTCTCTGGTACCAACACGGTCATAAGCAGGTCCAACTCCTACAGAAATGAGGTTAAAGTTCACGTAAAAACTGAAAACTGATACAGAATTCTGCCACTCAACATTCAAACACTCTACACTGCTGACCTAGTCTGTAAAGCCAGTCTCCTTTGCTGACAATGCAGCTGATGCCTCCAGGATACACATTCCTCATGAACTCCCACAGCAGAGGGCTGAAAGGAGGCCTGGCTGCAACCAGCTGTTCCACACTGGAGATGCAAATGCATATAGGCTTCTCTGCAGGTCTGTCCTGCAAAAGGTCCAATTCAACAAGATGGTGACTTCATGAAAATGTATATTGCTGTTAAACAAGCCTCCTCTATCTTCTTACTTTAATGTTGTAGATTTTTTCTATCGCCTGAGGATTCTTGCAGGAAGCAGCCAGAGCGTACACAGTATCTGTGGGAATACCACACACACCCCCGTCCTCGAGAAGTCGAGCTATCTTCAACAGACCGCTGGTGAGACGCGAGCTAGCCACCGGACAGGACGGCTCGTCACAAGCTTCCTGTTTCACTTTTTCCTAAAACAAAACACACACATTTTTATTAATTATTCTTGCTGATTCTTAAAGGTAGGTGAATCTAAACTTCAGTCATTACCTTTATTATGGGAGGACCCATTGGGATCACTCTTTGTGAGAAGATGCAGTTCATCAGTGAAGCCAAGGTGCCATAAAAGCAAATGATGGATACCAATGCAAGCATGGCAACTGCAATACATCGTTTCTGGATGTTAGACTTTATTTGTTCTGATGAGAGTCAGAATCGTAAATACATAAAGTTTATAACAGGCGGTTTTAACTCACTTTCAAGTTGGTATGGAAGTCTGTGCAGGGTGGAGAGAAGGAAGCAGACAAGAACAACCTCCTTGATTGTTGTTAGAAACAACAGAACCACGTTCCTATAAGCAGCTAATAGAAGAAACAAAAGTACAAAATTATGAATGAATAAAAACTGTGAATTCCAGCGCTGAAAGCAGATACTAGACCTTACCAATCAACATGAGGAAGGCATTATTGACCAGTAAAGCAACGCCTCCAGCTGTGAATCCATAGGCTGCCTGGAGTGTTAACATTCCTAATACTCCTGGTTCTCCATAGAAACTGGCAGGAAACCCGTCTGCTGCCATGGTGTTTCTGTAGACAATCCAAACTTATGATAAAGGTCTAAAATGGTAATCGTCAACAACAACATTAATATATGAATTTTTAAAAGAACCAATGAAAGACTGAGCATAATATAATATAATATAATATAACATAATATAATATAATATAAAACGGTCCTTGCCTGTCATAAGTAGCTGAGCCACTCTTGTCATGTAACTAATGTAAAAGTCATTTATTACGACGCTCCTCTAACAGGCTCTCTGAAGAGGAAGAATTTATTCTAAATGAAAACAATTTTATCAATAGAATAATACCCCTAACATTACTGTTTTTTTCATATTGTTGAAAAACTACAGGATATTGCAATAATAGTTTTAATATTTATAAATAAACTCTTGTCAGGGAGCATCCTTTATGCAGATTTAGGTCTGATTCAATCTACAAAGCAGAGTATATAATAATCTAGCTACAGGTTTAAGAATCTTTGATGGGTGACATGCAGAAACAAAATATTTACTCCTGTCAGCAATAAAATAAAGAACAAAGTTTTACCTGTTGAAGTTGTTCAGACTGATGGAAAGCTGAGTTGTGCTGAAGGAGGGACGAAGGTTTGCCTTAAATATGATCTGTTTGTGTAAAGGAGGAGTTACTGAGAATTCCCCACTCTGTCACACAGCAGCATACTTACAGGTGACATCACTGCCTTTCACTTTACACAAAAGTGGCTTTTCCTCCTTCTTTCTCCTTCCTCCCCCTCAAGGCTATTGATGATGGTGAACGTTACACCACAGATAATGACCCGGGTGGAAAAGCCTCATTCTGATGTGATGCAGGATTGCAAAAGGAACCTGCCCTTCCTGCTCCTTTGGTGTTTCCGGTCATTGTAAGTCCTGGACTATATAAGGCAGGTGGATTTTCAGCCACAAAAGCATCAGCATCCTTCACTGCTCAGCTGCTGCATCCAAGAGAAACAAGAAACAAGATCATTGTGACAGAAACTTGAAGTCATGTTCTCCACGCTACAGGTAAGATTACAGACATATTTATGCTTTTAGTCAGTTTTCAGACTCTAAAAGTGATGGTTTTAAGTCCTTTTCAAATAAAGAAGTCATACAAATATCTAAAAGTAGAGGTTTGTAGTGCGGCCAAGGCAGGGAACTATAAAATAACTCCTGCTAATTGTTGAGGAGAACACTCATGCTGGGAAACACCTGTTACACCTCTACACTGGCTCTTTCAAACACAAACATTAGATTAAAGACGTGAACAAGTAAATGCAGGAACTCATCAGCCTGTAGTCATCCTGAGATGTGAAAAATAACTGAAATGCTTTGTTCTGATTTATGTTTTGTCCCAAAGAAAACCATCAGACCAGTGCGGGCTGCCAGAAGACTGCATAACACTGCAGTGGAGGGTAAACAGATATGCTGACTTTGATTAAAAATAATAATAATAACCTTAATTAATAACCTTTATTAAACAACTTTTATCTTTTCATTCCTGCAGTCCAGAAGCACCCAGCCCCAGAAGATACGGTCACAGCCAGTTTTGGGAAGTTCATCAGTGAAATAAAGCCTCAGCATTTGTCTCCGGTTGTGCTCCATCGCAGCAAAAGGATGGTGCTGGACAGCATCGGGGTCGGACTGATAGGGAGCAGGACAGATGTGTTTGAGCTGGCTCTTCAGTTCTGCCAGGTGAGGCAAAGTGAAAGTCTGAGTCAGGTCCAACCCAAAAATGTCCAGAACAGATGAGTGAATGTAGGGTTGTTTCTGTGTTTGTTCTTAGCACATGTATGCTCCGGATCACATCAGCTCTGTGTACGGACGCAGAGGGATCAGACTCTCCCCAACACTGGCAGCTTTCGTTAATGGAGTAGCGGTGAGAAACATAAGTGGAAAACAACCATATATAAATAACCACATAAACATCAGTGGAAACATTTTGTATAAACAGCTTTTCTCAGCTGTTGGTGCAGCGTGGCTCCCAAAGACCACAGGGTTAGGATACAGAAATAGCTGGGTTCTGATCTAGTTATGACCCTCACAGAAAAAGTTATTATTCTGACTCCTTTCAGCTTCAGTATGATGAGACACAAACTCTGGTTGCTTCCAGACTCATTCCATGGACTTTGACGACACGTGGCATCCAGCCACTCATCCCTCAGGAGCTGTTCTCCCAGCTTTGTTTGCTCTCAGTGACATGATGCCGGCTAACAGCAAACCAAGCGGTCTGGACTTCTTACTGGCCTTCAATGTCGGCATTGAGATCCAGGGCCGTCTGATGAGGTTCTCTAATGAAGCACGCAGCATTCCCAAGAGGTCAGTGCCTCACAGCACAAGTCAAGCTTGAACCAGAAAGTCTGGTTTTAGCACGATCTTCATGAACACGTTCGTTTAAAGACGTCCTTGTTTGACTGTGCTGATCTCAGCACTGAGGTGTAAGAGGCCGTTTTAGTGATGTCAGTGTAATGATGCTTACTGTAGGAACAGCAGGGGCTCTTGGTGTAACGTTAACAGAATTAGCACAAACCAACCCCTTCATCTGGTGGGTGTTTTAGAAACTCAGGTGACCTGAAACGAGTTAAATCAATTCATCTTGTTCTAAAGATTCAACCAATAGAAACATTCTTAAGTGGTGATGCAGATCAGTGATTGTTTCAGTTACAACAGAATAAATGTCCTAACTGAACTGTGTGTGTGTGTGTGTGTGTGTGTGTGGGTTGTGTGTGTGTGTGTGTGTGTGTGTGTGTGTGTGTGTGTGTGTGTGTGTGTGTGTGTGTGTGTGTGTGTGTGTGTGTGTGTGTGTGTGAACAGGTTCCATCCTCCCACTGTGGTGGGTCCTATGGGAAGTGCAGCAGCCTGTTCTCGTCTCCTGTCTCTGGATCCGTCTCAGTGCAGTCATGCCTTGGCTATAGCAGCTTCTCTAGCTGGAGCTCCGATGGCTAATGCTGCCACTCAGTCCAAGCCCCTTCACATCGGCAACGCCTCTCGTTTGGGGCTTGAAGCTGCTCTGCTGGCCTCCAGAGGCCTAGAGGCCAGTCCTCTGGTCTTGGATGCTGTTGCAGGAGTGGCGGGCTTCAGCGCCTTTTATGAAGATTATGTTCCTCAGCCTTTAGAGTCACCTGATGGTGGTGGACATGTGTTCCTGTTAGAGGAGCAGGACATTGCTTTTAAGCGTTTTCCTGCCCATCTGGGGATGCACTGGGTGGCTGATGCTGCAGCTGCGGTCCATGAGCTCCTTGTGGGACATGGTCTAGGACAGGTGTCCCCACATCAGGTCCAGGACATCCTGCTCAGAGTCCCCCAGTCTAAATACATCAACAGGCCTTTCCCCGAGTCAGAGCACGAGGCACGCCACTCCTTCCAGTTTAACGCCTGCAGCGCTCTGCTGGACGGTGAGGTGACAGTGCAGTCCTTCAGCCCGCCCGCCATGAGCCGCCCAGAGCTGCACTTCCTGCTAAGCCGTGTTCGCATGGAGCATCCTGAGGACAACCCCGCCAATTTCAACCGCATGTACGGAGAAGTCCAGGTGACTCTAGATGGAGGAGACATCCTGAAGGGCCGCTGTGACACCTTCTACGGCCACTGGCGCAACCCGCTGACAAACGAGAGCCTGAGCAAGAAGTTCAGAAGCAACGCAGAGGTGGTGCTGCCATCAGAGAAGGTGGAGCGGCTGGTGGAGGTGGTGGAGGAGCTGGACAGGCTGGATGATTGTGGAGCTCTTCTCTCACAGCTGCAGTGATCAATAACACTGAACAATAAAGCAACAATCCTTCAGCATATAAATAAGAATCATATTATTTTTATATTAATGTTTTTAAATGATCTGCTTAGTGTAGACTGGAAATAAACACATTGCCATGTTTTTCCTCTGGAGTTTACCTCAAGCTGATGTTTCCTGTATTGTTCAATATTGTCTTTTGGTATTGAATTCTGTTTTTATCGTAACAAAATTCAGATAAAAACATGACTCGTGTGTGTGAGTCATATTTATTGTTTAATGCCTGTTTTTATATAAATATTGTTAATCTAAGAAAATGTGTTTCTTGCAACCTTTTCTCAAAATGTGTACATAATAAAGTGTTTCAAACATGTAAAACACATGGTCATAAAGTCACCTGTGTGTGTGTGTGTGTGTGTGTGTGTGTGTGTGTGTGTGTGTGTGTGTGTGTGTGTGTGTGTGCTCTGTCTTCTCAATCTCCAGTGGTTCATGGCGGATGGCTACAGGATTCTTTGCAAATTTCATCCTGTTACATAAAAAATTGGATAACTCTAAACTTTCTGCTTTTAAATCAAGACTGAAGTTCTCATTTTTGGACCGGAACTTCAGAAAAGGAAATTGTTTAGCCAATTATCTGACCTGAACAGCATTAAATTAGTCTCAGAGGACAAAGTAAGGAACCTTAGAGTCTTCGACCAGGACTCTCACGTTAAACTGGTTTGTAGGATTTCCTTTTTTCACCTTTGGAATATTGCTAAGATTAGATGCATCCTTTCCAGGAGTGATGCTGAAAAACTAGTTCATGTATTTATTACATCAAGACTGGTTTACTGTAATTCATTACTCTCAGGAAGTCCACAGAATGTAGTTAAAAGTCTTCAGCTTGTCCAAAATGCTGCAGCTGGAGTACAATAAACTTTATTGTATTTATCCTAGTGGATCTATAATTAAACGGATAAACTAGTATTAGCACATCCAACGTCAAGGAAAGCAAAAAGCCATTATCAGGAGAGGGAGAATGTTTTAGTGGTTAGCAGCAGTGTGCTAGTCGATGGCCCCCTCCATGAGGCCACCACAGCTCAGCAGAATGTCGTTGTAGCTTCTTCTGGGGAGAAAAACACTTACAGAGAAAATAAAGTTAACAGCTGAAATTGCAGAAAATAGTACAGTTAAAGAGCAGACTGTAGAAGAAAGCAGTAGAGTGTGAAAAGTGGTCAGTGTATCCTCCAGCAGTCTAAGCCTATAGCAGCATAACTACAGAGATAACTCTGGATAATCTATCCTATTTAGATGGAGCCATGTTGGAGTCAGGGCAAGGGAAAGCCGTCTTTACCGACTGAACACTCCACCTCCCTGTACTCCCCCACTTGTCCAGATTTAGGCTAACATCAGATTTTAACCATAGGCCCTATCAAATAAAAATGTTTTAAGCCTATTCTTAAAAGTAGACATAGTGTCTGCCTCACGGACTAAAGCTGGGAGCTGGTTCCACAGGAGAGGAGCCTGATAACTAAAAGATCTGCCTCCCATACTAATTTGAGATATTCTGGGTACCACCAGTAGACCTGCAGTCTGAGAGCGAAGTGCTCGGTTAGGAACGTATGGAACAATCAGATCACTGATGTATGATGGAGCTTGATTATTAAGAGCTTTATATGTGAGAAGGAGGATCTTAAAATCTATTCTGAATTTAACAGGTAGCCAATGTAGGGAAGCTAAGACAGGAGAGATATGATCTCTCTTTTTAATTCTCATCAGAACTCTAGCTGCAGCATTTTGGACAAGCTGAAGACTTTTAACTACATTCTGTGGACTTCCTGAGAGCAATGAATTACAGTAATCCAGTCTAGATGTAATAAATGCATGAACTAGTTTTTCAGCATCACTTCTGGAAAGGATGCTTCTAATCTTAGCAATATTCCGAAGGTGGAAAAAGGAAATCCTACAAACTTGTGAAACCTGGGATTTGAATGACATGTCCTGGTCAAAGATAACACCAAGGTTCCTGACTTTTTTCTCGGAGATTAATGTAATGCCATTCAGGTCAGGCGATTGGTTAAGCAATTTCCTTTTCTGGATTTCTGGTCCAAAGATGAGAACTTCCGTCTTGTCTTGATTTAAAAGCAAGAAGTTTAGAGTCATCCAACTTTTTATGTCCTCAAGACAAGCCTGTAATCCACCCAACTGATTAGGTTCATCAGGGTTAATGGATAAATATAGCTGAGTGTCGTCAGCATAACAGTGGAAGTTTATCCCATGCTGTCTAATGATTTTACCAATTGGGAGCATATATATAGTAAAAATAATTGGTCCAAGCACTGAACCCTGTGGTACTCCGCAAGTAACCCTGGAGTATGAAGACGATTTGTCATGTACATTTACAAAATGAAATCTGTCAGACAGGTAGGATTTAAACCAGCCTAGCGCTGTTCCTTTGATCCCTACAACATGTTCAAGTCTTTCTAAAAGAACATTGTGATCAACTGTGTCAAAGGCAGCACTGAGATCTAACAAGACTAGAACAGACACAAGATTCTTATCTGAGGCCATGAGAATATCATGTGTAACTCTCACTAATGCAGTTTCAGTGCTGTGGTACTCTCTAAAACCAGACTGAAATTCCCCAAACAGAGCATTGGTGTTTAAATGCTCACATACTTGGATGGCCACTATTTTCTCCAGGACTTTGGATAAAAATGGAAGGTTAGATATTGGTCAATAATTCATTGGGTCATCTGGATCCAAAGAAGGCTTCTTAAGTGAAGGTTTGATTACAGCAACCTTGAAATCTTGTGGTACATACCCATTTACTAAGGATAGAATGATTATAACTAGAATGGGGGCAGTAACCAAAGGAAATGCATCTTTAAATAATTTGGTTGGGATTGGATCCAAAATGCAAGTTGAAGGTTTAGATGAAGCTAATATTTTTGATAACTCTGAAAGCTCAACTGGATCAAAACGGTTCAAGCACAGATGAGGTTCTACAGTCACCTCTGATGCTGCCTCACTTACTGAGGCAGAAGATATCGCATTAGGGAGGATGCTAAAGATTTTGTTTCTAATAGAATGAATTTTACTTGTAAAAAAATCCCATGAAGTCATTGCTGCTGAGGACTAAGGGAATAGATGGCTCAGAGCTATGATTCTGTGTGTTATGACCTCTGTGTTCCTGGGCTCCATTTTAACCACCGCACCAAGGACAGCTCCTTGCTCCGGCCCCGCTGTGACAGGATCAGCACCATGGAGAGAGGCACGCTGAGCCGCACCCTTCCTGCCGGCCCGCTGCCACCAGCTGGAAGCAATCCACGCTCATCAGGGCTTCTTATAAAGGAAGAGAAGAGAGTGGTTGAGAAGGTGAATGGAGTTGAGACGGGGTTGAGAAGGAGAGCGGTGAAAGGTTGTCGAGGAGTTTCCAGTGAGAGTTCGATGAGAAGTCAGTGAGAGGTTGCAGACAGCGCGCTTGTGGAGAAAGGACGGAGGTTGGAGCTGCCTGAAAGAAAAGAAGTTTGAGAGAGATGTGAAGGAGCGCTTGACAGAGTCGTGTAAAGGAAGAGGATTCCAATCACCGAGTACGGGAGTTTCGAGCTGCTGAAGGAGTGCCGAGCTGAGCTGCGAAGGAAAGCAGTGTAAAGAAACGGAGAGTTGCAGCCGGAGATCGTGGAGATGAGTGAACTAAAGACTACAGATGACACGAGGATCTTTTCTGGAGGAAACCCATTCCCTGAGAGAGAGAGAGACCGAGAGAACG